TCTGAAATCTTGATGAACTCATTTATTAGATCTAATAGTACTTTTTGTGGCTTGCTTAGGATTTCTACATATAATATCATGTCATCTGCAAACAGAGAGAGTTTTACTTCTTTCTTTCCAATCAGGATGCCTTACTTCTCTTTCTTGTCTTATTGTCCAGGCTTGATCCTCCAGTGCAATGTTGAATAGAAGTGGTATGAATGGACATCCTTTTCTTGTTCTTGATTTTAGAGGGAAAACATTCAGTCTTTTACCATATAGCATGATGTTAGTTCTGAATTGTTTGTAGATAGTCTTCATCAAGTCGAAGAAGTTCCCTTCTATTCCTAGTTTGTTGGCTGTTTTTATTATGAAAGGGTGTTGCATTTTTTACAGTCTTTTTTTCTCCGTCTATTGAGATGACCATGTATTTTGTTATTTATTCTATTATTATGGTGTATCACATTGATTGCTTTTTTGATGTTAAATCAACCTTTTATTCCTTGGATAAGTTCCACTTGTATAATCCTTTTCATATGTTGCTAGAGTCAGTTTGTTAGCATTTTATTGAGGATTTTTGTGTCTATATTCATAAGGGATTATTGGTCTGTATTTCTCTTGCATTGTGTTTGTCAGGTTTTGCTATCAGTGGCTTTATAGAAGTTGGGAAGTGTTTCCTCCTTTTCTTTTTTTTTGGAGTTTGTGAGGGATTGGTGATAGCTGTGGGATTAAACATTGGTAGGATTCATTAGTGAGGCCAACAGTCAGTACTTTTCTTTGTAGGGAGTATTTTTATTGCTAATATAATATAGTTTTTTTCATTACTAATACAGTCTCTTCATTTGCTATATGTCTATTCAGGTTCTCTATTCTTTTGTCAATATTGATAGTTTGTTTCTGGTGCACAGATGTTAAAAGAGAAAGGTTACTTTGGAATTTCTTTCCCCGGCTCTTGTCACCCATTCTCCTTATTGTTTAGGCTCATCTCCCGACAGTGACTGTAGGAAAAATGAGAAAGACAGTATTACAGTATTTGCTTACAAATTGCAGACTTGTTTACATTTTGCAGATTTTGTTATCTCATTGTTTCTTTTCATACATCTGGTCTCCTTCTACTTACTGCTTCTCCTCATGAAAACAACTCAACTAAGAGAGATGTGAGAGAGTGGGGAGCAGGGAGACTGCCCCGTTGAGATCTGAGTCCATTTTTCTGGGCCACATGAATAAAAAGTAGACATAACAAATTTCAGTACTGGGCCTGGCCCATGAGCCCTTACAGTGAGTGACTGTTAGCAAAGGTGTGATGATTCATAACTTCAGCAGAATTGAGGACATGAAATTCTACATTTCCTTCCTCAGAATTGTTCAGAGAAAGAGAAATGCTATTGCTTCCACGAAAGTTAATCTCAAGTTTCTCTCCTTTCTTTCTGAATCACATCTCACATTTATTTATGGAGGACCACTTTCATGAAGAACTAAGTACAAAGATTATGATTTTCATATTAATTCCAGAAGAGATTGAGCAAAGAGCGCCATTCATCCTTGTGACAGAAGTCTTGATTCTCAATTCTGTTGATATTAGATGAGCAATTTTTTTCCTCTTATATACTTTAAAAAACAAAAGCTAACTACCATCACCACCAATAAAAATACCCCTTTAACTTGGCATCAAACTGCACTGAGAAAAACCTATGTTAGCAAAGATACCATTTTCCTGGTATTGCCCCATCTTGGGATTTGAATTTTCCAGTGCCCATGGGGCACTACCTTTTGAGGGATTTAACAGCTTTTTCTGTAGGCCATTCCGTCCAACTCTACTTCAACCACCCCAGAACTGGGGTATTTTATTTACCAAGAAGTTTCTCTTTCTTATCTTTATTCCATCTAAATAACTGGTTGCACAAAAATTATCTAACAGTTGCCCCTGAAAGGTTTCAGTGCATCTGGCTTCATTCTGAATGCTCCTTGCCACACCACAGGACTGTTGATCATTAAAGGAAGTCCAGCAGTCTCTCCATGATCTGGATTCTGGCTTGTGATTTTACAGTTAATTATATACAAGCCTGGGGTAGTCATTTAAACTCACCTCTGTAATTTGTTTACATTCTCTTAATAGTTGTTTTTCTTTTTCTTTATAAAAATAATACTTGCTTACTGATGTCTAAGTCTCTGAATGAGTCTTTCAGTTTCATCACCAGTCTTGCTTTGTGGGCATTCCAATGCATATATTAAATTTTTGCTTTATTTATTTGAAAACTTGTTACTTTGAAATAATTTCAGGCTTGCAGAAATAACACAAAGGATTCCTATATTTCCTTCATCAGGAGCCCCCAAATTGTAATGCATTGCATTTGTTTAATTTCTGTCAATGTTTTTAGCAAAGCAGTGATCTCTAGGGTGGATTATGGAGCATAGATGCTCATTTCATCAAGTGGTGGGCAATCAACTACCACTAGAGCATAAAGCACTAACAGAAAGATTTGTTGCTATTCAAAACCCATGTTCAAACTTCTCCATCAGTTGGCACTTGTTTTCCTTATTAGTTTTGTTTGCTTCTTGAACCCTATTTCAGGAAGTCTTAGAGACATACATTTCTGTCTATTTAAAAAAACACTGAAGGACATGAAAAAACCTGTCCTCAATTATTTCCAGTTGAAACTAAAGCAAGTTTTAACATGTCAGTCTGATTATTGTAAAGCCCACATTTATTGTACAGTGTCTTCTAGACAAGCAGGCCGGGCATTATTGTGTCTGATAACGTATTCTATAAAGTAAGGCTAACACTTAACCATCATGCATTGCTTAACTTTATATATTAAACTAATTAAACAGACTTTCATATTATATCTGACAACAGGCAAATTAATAACAAAACTCAAAAAAATTTGGAATATCATGAAATGTTTATTTTCCAGTTTGAGACATTACTTTGATGCCATGACTTGCTCTTGCCCTTTCTTTCTCTTCCATGGACCTTAGGGCACACAATTGGATTACTGATAACCCTTAGTCCATGACACACTTTCACATTTCGTCCATAGGTGGCTCTTTTATCAATCTACTCATTTATTTCTAATAATGTAAAGAACACTCATGACCTCGTCAGCCATCACTGCCAATACCGAAGCCAATATTTTGGCAGTAATTGAATTTTATGTTCTAGAAAGCCATTTTATATCTCTGTCTCTCCCTACCCAACACTTAGGATGGTGACCACTGCCCTAAATCCTGTGTTCATCAACCCTTACCTTCTTCTGTACTGTAGATTTTTTAGTCTGTGTGTGCTGATTAGTAGGGTCATTTATTTTCTTTTTATGTCCTTTCTAGGTCCCACTCAGACATGCCTTTCACATCATTGGATTTAAGAGCACATTTTGCTCATCGGCACTGGGGTAATTAATTCTTCATTTATTCTTCTTACTGGCAAGGGCAGAGAAAAACCCCATCTCACTGGACAATGAAACCAAGAAGTCCCTCTGTGGATTGTCTTGGTTACCTCATGTTGGGTGTTTGGTGACGTCAGCTTTGGGCAGCTCCTCCCCCATGTGCTGAATGGTGTCTGTGGCTAGCCATGCCCAGTGATGACCGGCACCAGGAATTTCCTTTTCAGGAGCTTTTCCATATGTTGGCTGAATTATGAGCTCACCGTGAGGAAGTTTTAAAGAGGGGAGGCTTCCTTGGGGGCATTTGGCTGTGTTACCCACTGAGGTCACTGGGAGTTGGTTCAGCAGGAAGAGGGTGTCATGGGCAGTGGAAAGAAGACTGGCTTCAGAGCTCTGAGATGTGAATTACAGTTTCAGTTCTGCTGCTAACTCTCTGTGTGACCTTGGACAAATGGTGTTTACCTCTCTGGGCCTTAGCTTCCTCTTCTGTATTAGAAACACTTAACCCAAATTATTTCTAAGGGCCCTTTCTAATGAGGAACCTGGGAAAGAGTGGTTAAATAACCTGCTCCGGATCCCGCTGCCCTTCCTTCACTTGGTCAAGTGTGGAGTCAACATACATTCTCCTGGCTCCTGCGGGATGCCTGGGGGACGAGGATGAATAAAACACTTGCAAGACCTGGCTCAGGCACTCAGGGTCCTGCTACACTGTGAAGTACTCAGTAATGTATTCTCTAGTCTGTCTTACTAAGTGCAGCTGTGCTTAAGGGCAAGGATACCATCTTAGGACTCCTGACTGTAAGCAGCAGAAGCACACTGGGGGCTAACTCACTGCTCATTGTGGTGACACAGGCAGGTGGAGTGCTTCCTGAAAGAAATGAGCAGGGACACAAATGGGACTCAGTGAGAGACAAGGGATATTCAGTTGGGTGTGGAGGGGAGCATCTCTCTCCATCTTTACTGCCACTTCCCCTTGTAAGCCTGCTTCACTCTTCATCTTTGGAGTAGCTGCTACTTGGCAGAAAAGAGCTTTGGCAACCACACTATTTTATATGGAGGGAGACAAACTCTTTCTCTCTCAATCTCAATTCCGAATTCCTAGGAAGGTATTGTAATTGGACAATTTTGTGTCAGCCAATCTCCCCCTACCCTCCATCCAATCTTCTGTGGCTAAGTGGAGTGGATTTGGGGAGGTTATGTCATACAAATACAGACTCTCACCCTTCCACTCTGGGAATGGGATTGGGGACACATGCCTAGGAAAGACATCCTGGCCTCCAGCCTGGCTGGAGGCCCATGACCGGTGCTGGCTGCTTATCTCTCAGTGCTGGGCAATAATCCAGACTGGGTAGGTACTCAGCGCATGCATTTTGAACAAATGCACAATGAATCTGATCAACTGAGAGTGGAATTATAGGAAAAGGCTCACCAAGCAAACCCCACTTTGAGCTTTAAAAAGAAACCAAAAGAATATTAGTCCAAGAGAACAAGCTGCACAATCTTGAAATAGAAGGTCAGAGAAGGCAGTGAAACATGCCACTAGGTACTGTGCATTAACACCATGGAATAGACAGTAAAGCCGAACATGGCTCTTAGAACAAATGTGGTTTCTTATAAGGCATCAGAGAATAAAGAAGTGATAATAGAATGACTTCTTTTTTGAGATTTCAATGACTGAGAGGTCTTTCTTAGAGCTTCTCTCATTTCTTTAACTATACAAGACCCTGACCAAGAGCAGCCAAGGTGGGCAGGGAGAGCCCTTTGCAGTTTGCTTTCTACTAGGCATGACTTTAAAGTTCAAAGAAGTTTCTAATGGCTAATTGTGGACATTAGCACTGAAACAAGCCCAACCTAGCCTCTCATCCATTGCCCTAACTTTACAAGGAGACTCAACTATCCACTGTCAGCTAAAGGCAAAGGGATCCCTAGCTCAGGGTTCTGGAGAATCAGTCTTTGGTTGCCATTATATCATCCATGCTCAACAACTAAAGACTGTCCTGTCCCTCAGAGCTGAAGAGGAGAACTAAGAGCAAAGGCATAAATTAGGCCACAGACAGTTTAATTATTACTGAGGTAGAGAACAGAAGCCTGGCTGTGATGGGAATATGTTCACAGATGAGCTTTGTGTTTGTCTACCAAGTTATTTGCTCCATATTACCTAAATTAGTGCCCCTGTGCTGGTAGTTTGACCTGATTTGTGCTTGAGTACTAGCATTCTCCAAGCCGTGGCTAACAAGTGCCATGTCAAAGCCAGGATGCGCAGGTCTGGGTCCTGTTGGTCTTGGTGCGGGTGCCTGAAGGAGGGTCTTTTCAGCTGGCATTGATACTCTTAGCCAGCTGGGCAGTGTACAAACACACAGGGGTGGGAAAGCTGTAGTATTTTATGTTAACGTATATTTATTTTATATATATTTGCATTAAAATATATGCTATATATTCATTTACTAATAAATGTTAATACATATGACATATACAAATGTTAATACAAATGTTAATACATATGAAATATATAATATGACATTTAAAAATATATTAGAATTATATATATATATATATATATTATTGTGCCAAGGGTATCCTTCCCCTAGATTTCAACTATTTCATGTCTCACAGGGCCTTTTTAAGGAAAGGTATATTGGGCACTTTTATCAAAAAACATTTTTAATGAACAATTTAAAATTTTAACTTAGATTAAAATCAGTATAAGAAATTCTTCAGCATAAGAATCCCACTTACATTATTGAAGGACAACATACCCATTTATAAAGTCAATATGCTTTTCTCTAAAACATTAAATGTGTTCTAGGAAAAAAATAGTTCCTGGAGAAGTGGTTTCCTTTTGAAAATTCATTTCTTCGTGCTCTGACTGTTCTTGGTTGACTAATCATGAGAAATCTCCCACTGATGAGGCAATTCTCAGATGCTGTCACCATGGGGCAAAGAAAACATCGAATTTCTCTTTAAGAGGAAGCAGCACCTGGAAGAGACAATCATTTCCCTGGAAGAATAACATCTCTTGATAAATGGAATTTTTAAGCTTAAAAATTAATTTTTCAATACTTAAAATTTGAAATTATTGCTAGAATTGATAAAGGGGGCACAATTTAAGGATTATACTTGTAAGTGCCAATATGGAAAGAAAATTTTGTGATGGAACTGAGTGTTAATGGTGTAATTTGAATTTTTTTACTTAAAAAAATTTGTCTGTGGGCTTGGATATTTGATATTTAGGATACTCCTCAGACAGCAGAAGGTGTGGGTTGTCTTGTCTTTGAGAAGTGGTCTAGAATATGTATCTCAGTCTAGTGGAGGCGATATGAGGGTCTACATGTAAAAGGTGCACCATCCTGTGCATTACCATGTGTAAATAATACTTCATTGAAAAGGGGAGCAAGAGTGAGCTAGCCCGCCAGCTAGTGAGCAGTGCAGAGAGCTTTTCCCCACAGCTCCCGCAGGCTTCACGGTGTCCAGCTCTCGCTCCTGGTTTTCACCCAGCCAGGTCCTTGGCTCACAGCTCTGACAAGCTACCCGGAGGTAAGAGGTAATGGTCTGCGCTGCTCCTCACGTACAAGGGGACTGTGTATTTTTTTTTTTTTTTGGGTGCCTTCCACATTCAGTGACATTCCATGTGTAATGCTCTTGGTGGCTCTCACAGCTCCTTCTCCTCCCAATAGAGCTTGGAAGGAGCAACTGCTGCCATGTCATACCTGCCTGCTTCCTCAGAACAAGGTACCAACGCAAGCCCAGTCCCTCTTCTCCTCCATGCTGTGAGTCCTGCTGAGACACGCCTCCCATGAGGGGGGCTTCTGACATTGTCCGTGAATGGGTGGGGAAGCCCACACATGCCTACAAATACAAGCCATCCCTTTATTAATATTTATCACTTCTTCTGTCGTATTTTAGTTGGTTCAAACCTCAGGTGGGAATGAAAGCTGCCAATGAACAGGATTCTGCAAAGACCCCAACACTGCCTCCAGACAAGAATACATAAAAGTTCCTGGCTTCTCTGGAATGAAACCTGGCATGCCTAACTCAAGCCTCATTAAAACCTTGCAGAGTTATTATGCAAAAGTACTCACTGATCTTTATTTGTCAACTTTTAAATGTCTTTAATTTTTGAGAAAAATCAAATCCATTATAGTTTTTGGAGTTTATGACTTTATCACAGCCCTCTCCTGGAATGGCTTTATGAATTAGTTGACAAATAGATACAGAAATGAGATATGGATCAACATGTTAACTTTACTACTGAAGTTGGATTAAAAATCTTGGCTTGGGGAGATTCTCAAGACGGCGGCATGAGTAGAATGGTGGAAATCTCCTCCCAAAACCATATATATTTTGAAAAAATAGCAAATACCACTATTCCTAAAAGAGAGACCAGAAGATACAGTACAACAGCCAGGCTATATCTACATCTGCGACAACTCAGCATCTCACAAAAAGGGTAAGATACAAAGCCGTGACCTGGCAGGACCCAAGCACATCCCCCACCTGAGCTCAGTGGTGGGAGGAAAAGAATCAGAGTGGGGAGGGAGTGGAAGCACAGGACTGCTAATAACCAGCCCTAGTGATCTGCACCGGGAGCACAGACACACATTACATGGTATACTTGATATTAGAGAAATGGAAAAGTAAAATCCGAGACTAAGACTGCAAATAGGTCCTCACAGCCTGCTGCCCTGGAACAAGAAAAGCAGGCACTTTAAAAGTCTTAAAGGGACAAGGGTTTAACAGGTAGACAAAATCATCCTGGCACACTCAGCCCAGCAGGCTGGGAACTTTAAGGAACTTCAGGTGCCCTAATTCCCTGGGTGGCAGTGCAGCTGTGAAGCCCCTGCTGTTCATTTCCCTGCAAGGAAACCAGCTAACCGGCCATTGTCAGAGAGCAGCCTGGGAGCAGCCCCGCCCACAGCAACCACACAGTCTTCTTCCAGCATGCAGCTAACCGGGCCAGACCCAGAGGCTGCCCCCTGTGCGCAGCTGTCCAGCACAGGCAGTGGAGAGACTGTGCAGAGCCTGGAAGGCACAAAGGGACTTTATTCTTGTGGCGAACATGCACTTGCTTGCCTGCAACTCCCGCCAGTGCCCTAGGCCATCCCAAGGGTTGCCCCACACATGGCAGCTCAAGGGATCAACCCAGAGGATGCCACCTGCACCCAGTTGACCGGCACAGGCAGAGGAAACCAGCACAAAGTCTGGAAGGCACATAGGGGCTCTGCTCTTGTGGCGAACATGCGCTGATTGCCTATAACCCCTGCCAGTGCCCTAGACCATCCCGATGGCCACCCTGCCCACAGAAGCTCAGGGGAATAACCTAAAGGCTGCCCCCTGCACCTAGTTGACTGGCACAGGCAGAGAAAGCTGGTGCAGAGTCTGGAAGCCACATAGGGGCTCTGTTATTGGGGCAAACACATGCTGCTCACCTGCAACCACTGCTAGTGTCCTAGGCCATCCCGAGGGCCGCCCCACCCACAGCAGCTAAGGGGGTCAACCCAGAGGCTACCCCCTGTGTGCAGTTGCTTGGCACAGGCAGCAAAGACTGTCAAAGAGTCCGTAAAGCAAGAAGAGGCACCATACTCACAGGAGAACACACACTGATTGCCCGTGACCCCCGCCAGTGCCCTAGGCCATCCCAAGGGCTGCCCCACCCACAGAAGTTCAGGGGATTAACCCAACGGCTGCTCCCAGGCAGCACAGGCAGCAGAGATGGGAAAGGCAACCAGCAAGCAGGAAGGGACTTAGTCCTCCCAGCTGACACATGTGCCACTAGCCCCAAAACATATAATTAAAGTGGCAAAGATCAAAGACAAGTATAGAGTATGAAAAGCAGCCAGAGAGAGAAAAAAGATCACCTATAAAGGAAAACCCATCAGGCTACCATCAGACTTCTCAACAGAAACCTTACAGGCCAAAAGAGAATGGCATGATATATTTAATGCAAAGAAACAGAAGGGCCTTTAACCAAGTATACTGTATCCAGCAAGATTATCATTTAAATATGAAGGAGGGATTAAACAATTCCCAGATAAGCTAAAGTTGAGGGAATTTACCTCCCACAAACCACCTCTACAGTGTATTTTAAAGAGACTGCTCTAGATGGAAGTACTCCTAAAGCTAAATAGATGTCACTGGAGAAAATAAAATGACAGCAAAGAAAGTAGACCAACCAAACATTAACTAAAGGCAAAATAAAATCAGCTACCCATAAAATCAGTCAAGGGAAACACAAAAGAGTACAAAATAAAACACCTAACATATAACATATCAAGAGTGTAATTGTACATTAATGATATAAAAAAAAATCTTGGCTTGGGCCCAAGATCCAAATGGCCTTCAGCTTGATTTACCACCCACTCGCAGGCAGGACAGCTGTAGTCCTGCCCCAGCAGGGGTGGCACCTGGCTCCTTGGTCTTACCCTAGGTGGAGAGAGGACAGGTACACCCTGTGACCAAGCTGTTTAAAACAATGAGAGCAGGGACATTGGGAGAGCCCCCTGCAGAGAGGTGGGAGAGCACAAATCCATGCCTTTTGTACTTTGACACTAACCAGTAATGGGAGCACAAGCAGCTATCCTTGTAAGGAGTTAGAGAAGAGACGAAGAGAAGGAAAAGTACTTCCCAATGCTTCTTAGGGGTTAGAAGTTCCCTTTCCCTAAGTCAAGCAGGAGCAGGTGGGGACAGAGAGATGTTGCCATTTGACTGACAATTACTGGGGGGCCCCAAGCCCTAAGCTTTGCTAATTGACCTTTATCCATAGGGCACCAAAATTTGAGGGCTCAGAAAAAGTTTTAAATAATCTGCAAGGACTGTGCATGCATTAAATCCCACCTCTGCAACAAATGCTCCGCCACCAGCCTACCAGAAGCGGTCATAGCCCAGCTCCAGCCTCAGGCCAGTCTGGGCACCAGCAGAGACAGAGGGACTGGAGGCCCCCAGTCCCTCTGTGGTCATGGAAAGTGTCCCTCCCTTCCTCTCCTCATCCCTTTTCCTGCTGCATACCTGATGCCATTTTTGATTTGAAGGATTTTTCACATCGCTGGTCTCTAACATCAAAATTGGTTGTTAAGATGCTGAAGGCAGAAGAGTTCACTCAAAGTGTTAGAATTCTTTCAGCATATGCTGCGCTAAACCAAACAGTTTACATTCTAGGAGGAGATAGCAGTGAACAAGTAATTATTCCCAGGAGATAATGCTGCTCTTGTGTATCTGCCTTTTACACACTGTCCTTTAAGCAGTGCACCAATGAGGCATGCTGCAGTTACTTTGAGGATACTCACTGGGACACTTTTTCAAGGGTAAATTATTGTTAGAAAGCATGAGTGAGAAATCACAGACACAACATGTGTACACACAACTAATTTGTTGACCATTCATGCTAAATGAATGAGAGGAAGTATATTATAACCACAAAATGATTCCTTTCTTAATTGTGAACAATAAAGCTTGAACTCTCATCTCTGCTTTGTTTTTGCCAGGTAGCCAAGAAGCAATAGTGAGCCAAGAAGCAAAGTTTTTTTGGCCTTTTTTAAAAAAATCCAGACAACTTTAAGAGGAAAACATTTCAAACGTATTCTTTCTCCATCACTTTGCGGGACTGTGTCCAGTAACAATGGCTTCTGGAGCCCACATCCTCTGGCTGCCTAGGAGACCCTCTGCCTTCCTCCCAACCACTTACTCATTTTGTAATCAAAAGAAAAGGTGCTTTTATCAGGCTGCAGCCTATTATGTGTACGGCTGGCAGACTTGGCATGGGCAACCCCATCAGTCCGACCTTGCTGCAGCCCAAGTGCGGGATGGTTGTCTGCTGGCTACAGGGCTCCAGCCGGCACATACTCTACTCGGACAAGGAACAGTCTTCCATGGCTGTCCAGGGGTGGTTGTCAGGACGTGCCTCCTTCTACATGATCAGAGTCGCCTCCATGTGGCTTCAAGCCCTGGATGTGTTCCCAGGCATATGGGCCCTTCAGCTGTTCAAACACAGCAGAGGTTGCAAACTCCTGTCGGGGATTTCATTCCTTCTGCACAAGGCTTTAATTTTTAGGATCATTGCTAATGTGTGAAAGTTGGAAGATTTCGTGTCATCCAGATTCCTAGTTACTTTTTATGAACCAGAGGATTAGGTCTTCACTTTTCCAAGTCAGCCATAGTCTGGCTGGCCCTGGAAAAGCTGTCTCTTCTGGACACATTTCACCCTTCGGCCTGCTGCATATGTAGTACCTGCACCCACACGGTTTCTCTTAAATCTCTCTTCTCGGCTGCCCTCAGCCATTTCTCCCGCATCATGGCTTCCAGGCTCCTCCCAAGTGTGAGCCCTCCTGTGCAGCCACACCGAGATGGAAACACAGGGCTGCAGATGTGGTTGGGGGTACAGGCTCTCCTGGCTGACAGCATTCCTTCTCACCATGTGAACGTCACTCTTGTGTTCTCATTATTGACTTGCTAGGAGCTTTTGGTCAACTAACATCCTCCCGTTTTTATTTATGTCAATGTTGTTACTTGAGTCCTCCATTCGTACCTTTAATTTAAATGCAGAACTTTTCTTATACTTCTATTTCATCTTGCTGGTTAATGGCTCTAATTGCAGCCTGTCAGAGAATATTTATAATTCTTCCCTTTGTCATCTAATGTATCCTGAGCATTCTGTCTTCTCCACTAGTTCTGGCCAGAACTTCTAGTGCAACATCGAATAGCAAGAGTGAGGATGGGCATCCTTATCTCTGCTTTTAGAGGAAAGCTTTCAGTCTTGCACAACTGAGTCTGATGTTAGCTGTGGGCTTTTCATAAACGCCCTTTATCAAGCTTGGGAATTCTCTTCTATTCCCAGTTTCTGAGGTTTTTCTTTAATTGTTCTTCTTGTTTTACCAGGAAAGGGTATTTGGGATCAAATGGTTTTTCTACATCAATCTAGATGATCATATGTATTTTTTCCTTCTTCCTTCTTTTAATGTAATTATTCTATTACATTGATCGATCTTATTTTGAATCACTTTTGCAT